ATGTGAGAAAAGTCCCAGGTTTGCAGGAAAATCTGAAAGCTAAAAAATACTGGGGAGGGGGGGTTTATTCATTTTTATTCATTATTTCTAGGCAAAAATTTATTTACGCTCAAATAGTCCACTACAGGAGACCAAACTTCCTCAAATGACTTCTTATCTGAAGAATAAAGAGACACAATCAAAAATGGATTATGAAAAAATTTATCCATTAAACAGATCTCCCATATTTTCTCTTGCCATTTTTCTATTGTAGGACCTCTAGAATCTTTCCAAGCTGATGCAATAACTAAATGGCCAGCATATATCAATTTAGAAATAAGCAACAATATGCTTTGGTAGATTTATGTCTCTCTATACGTCAAATAAACAGAATTGTATTGATTGTGGAGACTTAAATTTAGTTATTGTGTATATAGCCTCTAGCACCTGAGTCCAAAATACCTTTATTCTGGGACAAGTCCACCAAAGATGTATTGGAGATCTATCTGTCCACAGTGTTTCCAGCACAAAGAACTTAGGCCAGATTTAATTTTAGCTAGTTTAGAAGGACAAAGGTACCAATTTGCTATTAATTTGTAATATTGCATCCGGATAGAATATATTGGAGATTTATATGAAGGGGATTTCCAAATATCAATCCAGTCATCATTAGACAAGGTATTAGGAATCTCTTTAGCACACATTTGTATATATGAATGGGGTTTTGAAAATTGAGGATTCAATATAGTTTTATATACTTTCTAGAGGAGTTCCTTAGAAATCTGTAAGGGCTTTTGTAGTAGATCTTCAAATTCTGTAAGTTGCCTACAGACCTTTGGTTGTTTGGAGTACAATGTCATTACCACTCTTAATTGAAGAAATTGAAACCATGGTGATTGTTGTTTTATTTTTTGTTTTATTTCTTGTTTTGTCAATAACTTGCTCTGGCTGAACCCGGAGTTATAAGAATCCAGTCCCGATTCTATCCACTTATTAAAATTAAGGAGGTTGTAACCTGGATAAACCCAATTATAATTTAAAACACTTGCTATAAGCAAAGGAGAAGGAGCCAATTTCTTCTTTAATTTATCTCAAAGCATAAGTGTGTTGACTAAGATACTATTGGCCGCTAAAGAAAGAGATCTTTTGTTGGGAGAAGTCCAAATCGTTCCCCTAAGTGGAAGTGGAGCTGAGTAAGCACATTCTATTTGAACCCATTCTTCAGATGGAGAAGGATTGTATAGTTGTATTAATTGCTTTAAAACTGAAGCCCAATAATAAAATTTTAAATTTGGAGTTTGTAGTCCCCCTTGTCTCTTCAGTTTACAAAGTGATTGAAACACTATCCTGGCCTTCCGTCCTTCCCAAATGAATTGATTCAAAAAACTTTGCCACATATGGAGAGATTGTTCTGAAAAAAAAAAGGTATAGTCCTAAAAAAACCCCCAAAATTTTGGTAGAACATAACTCCTGTAATAGTTGGCCTATATTGCAATCTATAATAGATGAGAGATTGAGGGGTATTTTAACTCCTAGATAATGCCAATATTTTTCAACCCACAGAAAATTATATCTAGCTCTTAATTCTGATTCCACGTCAGAAGGAAGATAAATAGGAAAAATTTCTGTTTTTGTAACATTAATTTTGAGACCTGAAATTACTTTAAATTTATCCAATATAGATAAAATTTCTGGAATGGATTTAAGTGGGGAGGATACATAGAGAACAAGATCATCAGCAAATAGCAAGATCTGATTATCTGAAGTGCCTTTTTTGATACCTGTAATGTTTTTATTAGCATGGATCACATTTGCCAATGATTCAAAGGCTAGGGCAGAAAGGATGGGAGATAAGGGACACCCCTGTCTCGTACCCTTATGTATCTCAAAAACTTCTGACCCCCACAAATGATAGAAGTAATGCCTGTAGCTTTAAGAAACAAATGCCCACAATGATCTTTGCTAGGCAACCACTTAGGAACGCCAGCCTCCAGGTGGGGACTGGGGATCCCTCAGAATTACAGCTCATCTCCAGACTACAGAGATCAGTTCACCTGGAGAAAATGGATGCTTTGGAGAGTGGTCTTAAGGGTTGCCAGGTCCCTCAGACCAGCCAGCGGCGGATGGGGGGTGAACTTACTGGGAGAAGGGAGGAACTCTGAAAATAAATGCAACATACCTACGTGACCTGGAAGTGACGTAAGCACATTGGGGACATTGGGTGGTGGTGGTGATGCTGTGGTTTTGGGGCAAAACCTCTATGGTAGAATTAGCTGGCCGGCAGCAGAGAGGTAGGGCCCGAAAGCGGGGAACCCCTGTCTCCACCAGGGGGTCTGGCATCCCTAAGTGGACTCTATGGCATTGTAATCACCTGAGGTCCTTTTCCTTCCAAGGCTTCATCCCCAAATCTCCAGGAGTTTCCTAACCTAGATCTTGCAACCCTACCCCCCCATCCCCTGCAGGTGGCTGGGGGGAACCTGGCAACCCTACAGCCACTACAGTGTTGCCAGGATTCAAGGCTTGGTTTCTGTCAGTAAAAGGCAAGTTAGAGGGGCAGGGCCCTTTCCAGGGCTGTTTTGGCCTTTGCCAAAAGACTCCTTGGGGTCAGGCCAGCAGCAACCACAGGCAACTTGCTACCACACAACTTGTTACCATGCAACTTGCCTGACTCACCTAGGTTGCTTGCTGATGTTCAACAGCAGGGGTCATTTCGTAGAAAAAGAGCTGCAGGAGCTCAGTAGCATATGGTATGCTAATGAGCTACTAGGCTATTGGCATATACCACACCCCCTGACATCACTAGAAGTGATGTCAGAAGGGGAAGCAAAACCATCTTCAAAAGCCTCCCCTTCCCTTCCCCAGCTGACCTGCAAGGGGGGGGGGAGCGGAGAGAGTTGGGCAACAGAAGGAGGAAAGAGGGAAGGAAACAGAGAGTAGAGAAAACAAAAGAAGGAAAGAAAGAGAGAGAAGGGAAAAAGGAGTGAAAGGAGGAAAAAAGAGAAGAGAAGAAGGCAGGAAAGAAAGAAAGAGAGGGGAAGAAGGAGGGAAGGAGGGAAAGGAGAGAAGGAAGGAGGGAATGAAAGAAAGAGAGAAGAAAAGGAGGTAAAGAGAGGAAGGAAGGAAGGAGAAGAAGGGAAAGA